AAAAAGGTGTTAAGAAAAGAAGTTGCTGGATACAACAAATCGAGATTGGACCTCACGGAAAATGGGTGTCATGAAGAATTGGGGTCTATTGAAAAGGGATGAAGAGGGTATGTTTAACAGGCTTCGAAGGTTTCTGCATGGATGTTGCCAAAAAAACAAAAAAAAGCAAGGGCGATAAGAGAATTGGTTAGGGTTGATTATAATAGTCAGCCATGATTTGGATGAGGTTTAACCAGCAGAAATGATGTTTTGCGGGATAAAGAGTTCATCGCTCCTCCCACCCCCTTCACAAAAACCAAAAAATCTAGAAACCAAAATCCTGTTGGTACGGAAACTGAAATCTCAGAGGCTGCTTTACAGCTAATGATGAGGTGTAGGATATGGTTAGATAATGCATACCGGTTAATGACGTCACTGAACAAGAATTTTTTTAATAGATATTGACGCGTGTTCTCAGGGCTCCATCAAAAACTGCAGTGAACATGCTCATTGTAACAATACCGCTGGATCATACAAATGTACATGCAGGGATGGATATTTTGGAGATGGTCACAACTGCACGCTCGGTAAATATTGTTTTAGCACGTTGTTCTAAGTAATACGATAGCTGAACTGCAAAGTGCTAGAGTCGACACGCAATCTAGGTCTTTGTCATCTTGTACTCATAACGCTATCATTAATGATCCTAATGTTATTATACACCGACTCTTTTTCAGCTTTTATCATCAATTCAGCGATATTATCAAACAATCAACAGTACCTACACCACTTGCACCTTTTCCTTGCACCGGAAGTCGGAAACATTTCCCAGTGGTTATTGTGTTACCGTCAGTCTTCACATGGTGACTTGGACTCTACATTTCACAAAAATTGCGATGGAAAAGAAAACACTGTTACCATTGTAAAAGAAAAGGAGTTTGTATTTGGAGGTTACACTGATCTCCCGTGGGGTAATTGTAGCTACTATATATTTACATAGGTTTATGTTGTAGGCACATCGTATCTGCCTCTGATCTAGCTGTTTGGCCGATCTGTCTGTCTGTCTGACTGTCTGTCTGTCTGCCTGTATGTTTGTCGTTTCCGTGCTTAACCAAAGTACAGTCCATCATTTACTTGTTCCCTGACCAGGGGCCTTTACGCGCATTTTCGTCCACCACGAAAACTTCTACGCAACGAGTGTGGCAGCATTATCCGCCGAAGGAGTGGGCATCATGTCTGAAAATAACTTGCAGGGAATTAACTCGAGAATAAGTGTTATAACGGGGGATAGGCTCTCTTACCCTTTCATCTTCTCTTGCTAATACATCTGACCCATGCNCCATAAATGCTGCCTTCCAGCTCCCATACGACCGCTTGTCTCCACTAAATACCGGAATAGAAACCCTCGTCAATTGTTTCCACATGTTTTTCCCGAGCTCATGTTTCGGTGATTCTTCTAGCTCCTCGTCTATGGCACCCTCGAGCTTCGAATATTTCTTTTTGCAATCTCCTTTTGCACGGGCTAATTCCTCTTTCGCCTCTCTAACTTCGGCTTCCATTTCTTTTTGACAACGGGCATATTCTTCTTTCATTTTCTTTTGCGCACGCTTGACAGATTCTTCTTTTGCGCGTAATCGCTCCTCGAGCGAGGTCACGCGCTGGCGAGCTTTCGTTTCTTGTGAATGCAAATTACGTAATTTCCTGGAAAATCCAGACGCTTGATTCGATAATTAATCCTTATTGGCGTCCAAATATTCTTGTACACTTTCTTGGGCATTCCAGAGTTCTTTCTCGATGTTATGTTTTCGAATGAGAAATGCAACTACAACAACACACAAGATGGCGGAACTCAAAACTGTATTCTCACGTGTACAAGACTGCGGGCTCACATCCGGGCAATACATAATAGTATGACGTAATGAACCATAACACCCCTCCACCGAGATATGTTGTACAAATAACATAGAAAAAAAAAAGAAAGAAATAAGAGTTAAGACAGTCCTTGTGAGTCTTCCTGATTGTGCAAATAACCTAGCTGCAAGTCAGACTCAGTTCAAACAACTAAACAAGTTTCTTGAGCAATGTCACGAAACNATATGTTGTACAAGTAACACAGAAAAAAAAAGAAATAAATAAGAGTTAAGACAGTCCTTGTGAGTCTTCCTGATTGTACAAATAACCTAGCTGCAAGTCAGACTCAGTTCAAACAACTAACAAGTTTCTTGAGCAATGTCACGAAACGAAGCAAAGTTTTCTTTTACTTAAGTAATGTCACATCTGTTCAATCAGTCTCTGCGGAGGTGTTATAACACGTCTGGACCTCCGTAGTTCGGGAGTGACGGGAGCTATGGGTGGTGACTCCATCCAGGTCGAGTCTTCTTGAACTGGAACATTAAACTCAGGTGTAACAGTGATTGGAAAATGTGAGACTTCCACAACAGAACTTGGTTGAAGTACTTCATCCGAAGATGACGTGGGAGGCTCTGCTGGTTTAGTGGTGGGATTGTTCTGAAGAACGTCATCCACATGGCGTCTCCAAATGCGGCCGTTATCCAGTTGGACTTGATAAGAATGTGGGGAACTGTGCTTCACCACTGTACCCGACTGCCATTTCTGCTTTGATAAGTGATCACGTGTCAGAACAGTGTCGCCCCCAGACAGTCTCTAGACTTGGCATGCCTGTCATGGTAAAACTTCATCTTGCCTTGCTGTGTAGCCACGTGACTACTGAGGTCTGGCTTAGTGTGTGACAGCCTTGTTCGTAGCTCTCGCTGCAAGAAAAGCTTTGATGGTGAAGTTCCAGTGGTGGCGTGTGGTGTACTGCGATAAGATAGTAGGAAGTTCTGTATCCTTTGCT